CTTTAACTTAGCTTACCTGTCAAACCCACAAATAAAACTAAAAAAAAAAAATTACTTCTGTGTGTTTTATCCCCCAATTTAAAAAAATGTAGAGAAAGAAGTGACAGGGAAAAAGAGACAGAAAAATGTTGTTTATGACCCAGGCATAAACACAATGTCCTTTAAAAACGGAAAGGTTAATTTTTAGCAATTTCTCCATGCATCTCATACCTCTGTGTTATGGCAAAGTAAACTTATACAGGTAATCCTCGACTTACAAACAGTTCTTTTAATGACTGTTCAAAGTTACAACGGCCCTGAAAAATGTGACTTATGACCATTTTTCATAGTAACAAACCTTTGCAGCATCTCCACAATCATGTGGATCAAAATTCAGATGTTTGGCAAATGGTTCATACTTACGACATTTGTGGTTGTTCTGGGAACAACCCAGAACAGAACAGTTTTGCGAGCTTCTGACAAGCAAAGTCAATGGGGAAGCCAGATTCCCTTAACAACCAGGTTGCTAACTTATCAACTGCAGTGATTCACTTAACAACAGTGGCAAAAAAAGTTGTAAAATGGGGCAAAACTCACTTAACAAATGTCTCACTTATGCCAGAAATTTTGGGCTCAATTTTAGTTGTAAGTCGAGGAATACCTGTAGGATGCATTACTAGTCTCAAAACTACTATCCTAGAAGCCCTCTTCATCTATACACCCCAGTTCTGCCTCTTGCTTTGGTGATAATTAGTGCTAGCATTACCTGAAGTATCTTCCAGAACAGCTCCTCACTTTTTATTTATTTTATTTTTATTTATTTGATTTGATTTGTCAATTGCTTACAAGATAATAGGTGTAAGTATAAAACATAGTTATGAATACACATGGATACATATAAGAAAAATAAAAAATAAAAGAAACAATAGGACAGGGACGGTAGGCACGTTGGTGCACTTACGCACTCCCCTTACAGACCTCTTAGGAAAGGGGTGAGGTCAATAGTAGAAAGTCTAAGGTTAAAGTTTTTGGGGTTTGGGGAAGAAACCACAGAGTCAGCTAGAGTATTTCAGACATTGACCACTCTGTTGCTGAAGTTGTATTTTCTGCATTCAAGTTTGGTGCGGTTAACCATGAGTTTGTATCTGTTGTGTGCTCTTGTATTGTTATGGTTGAAGCTGAAGTATTCATTGACAGGTAGGACATTGCAATGTATGATTTTATATACTATACTTAGATCGGACCGAAGGCGGCATAGTTCTAGGTTTTCTAGGCCTAGAATTTCAAGTCTGGTGGCATAAGGTATTCTGCAACGAGTAGAGGAGTGGAGAACTCTTCTTGTGAAATATTTCTGGACTTTCTCAACTGTGCTAATATCAGATACGTAATGTGGGTTCCAGACTGATGAGCTGTATTCAAGTATTGGTCTAGCAAATGTTTTATATGCTCTAGTTAGTAGTGTGATATTACCAAAGAAAAAGCTACGTAGGATTAGGTTAACAACTCTTAATGCCTTTTTGGCTATGTAGTTACAGTGGGCTCTAGCACTTAGATCATTAGAAATGAGTACTCCAAGGTCCTTGACAGAGTTTGGATCATCAACAAGGTCTTGATTATTCAGCTTGTATTTTATTTTCTGATTTTTTTTGCCAATATGTAATATGTTTTCATTCTCCCCCTAATGTTGGAGTGCATGAGAACAAAGATGAGTCTTACAACCTCGGTTGCTTTATTGGCAAATAAAAAGGAAAACAAAATAAAGTCAATAGCACCACATTCTGGTCTTCTAGTGTCGTGGCTAGAAAAATCGATCTTTTTTCTGTCTCTCCTTCAGAAGATAGACCAATCTCACAAGAGAGAAATAAAATAAAATTGTATTAAAAAGAAAAGCAAATGTAAAAATCCCCTTTTAGCTTTATATGTATGCAAAAATATTCAGTAGCAAAAGATATGAAAATATACAGCTGTTCAAACCTCAGCAACTGTAAAGAATAAGCCCTCTAAAAGAAAACTAAGAAGGAAAATACAAGGCTTTAGGCAGAATGTAAAATTGATCTGCTCCTAATTTAGAGATAGCTGCACTATAAAGCAATTGCAAATTGCATAAAACAAGCAAATTACTGGTTTTACACAAAGAACATCAATACAAGAGACAAAATATTATACTTTAATACTATTAAACAAGGTAACAAAAATTAAAATTAATGCACAATTCCAACTACACTTGTTATCTATTTCTTAGGATCATCTAATACTTGAGGCTAGAGTCCACTGCTTGGACCTTTTCCAGATTTTTGGGAGTTTTCCTTTTAACAGTTGCTCAGGAAGATGCTACTCCCCCTGCACATGTGCCCACGCCCCCAGGTATGCATCCGCACCTCCCACACATGTGCACGCCCTCACCCTCATGCGCCCCACCCCCACGTATGCGTGGCAGAGACCCAAAGGCCAGCTGACCAGCGGGAGGTGTGTGTGCATGCGCAGTGGAACTGAGCTGGGGCGACAGCGCGCGTGCCCATAGGGCTCTGCGTGCCACCTGTGGCATGTGTGCCATAGGTTCGCCACCACTGGTTTAGTACATACAACCATATACATATGCGCCATGGTGGTGCAGTGGTTAGAATGCAGTACTGCAGGCTACCTGGAATTTGGCAGTTTGAATCTCACTGGGCTCAAGGTTGACTCAGCCTTCCATCCTTCCAAGGTTGGTAAAACCCAGATTGTTGGGGAAAATATGCTGACTCTGTAAGCTGCTTAGTGGTAAAGTGGTATATAAGTCTAAGTGCTATTCATATGTATGCTCGTTTGCAGTTACGGAAGCTTTATTTATTTATTAACTTTATATGCAGTCCCCCTCACTATTGAGGTGACTAGTAGTCATTCACTATTGGGCAGCTAGTACTCCTTTTTCAGATTAGTCTGAAATTTTATGGATAGTCCCCAATTTACAATTGTAATTGAGCTCCAAATTATGGTTATAAATGCCAGTCGTTAATGAGGTCCTCACATGACCTCATTATTGATTTTAAAACCTTTTTTGCAGCAGTCATTAAGTGAATGCAGTGGATGTAGAGTGAACACCACAATCATTAAGCAAAGTCTGTGACTGTTAAATGATCCCATGGTCTGCAATGCATAGTTTTTGACGGAAGCTGGAGTAAGTATCAGTTTCTGGCAAAAAAAAATTGGGGTCACTTGACTATGGGATGCTGCAAACAGCCATAAATATTTAAAATGAAAATATCTACAGACCCCTCACATCCCGGACATAAAGTGCTTCAACTCCTTCCCTCAAAACAACGCTATAGAGTACTGCACACCAGAACAACTAGACACAAGGACAGTTTTTCCCCAAAAGGCATCACCCTGCTAAACAAATATTTCCCTCAACACTGTCCAACTATTTACAAAGTCTGCACTACTATTACTATTAATCTTCTCATCACTCCTTATCATCCATCCCCTCCCACTTGTGACTGTATGACTGTAACTTTGTCGCTTATATCCTTACGATTTATATTGACTGTTTCCTAGTATGATTTGATTGCTTCTTGTACCCTATGACTATCATTAAGTGTTGTACCTGATGATTCTGGACTCCTGACCAATGTATCTTTTCTTTTATGTACACTGAGAGCATTTGCACCAAGACAAATTCCTTTTCTGTCCAATCACACTTGGCCAATAAACCTATTCTATTCTATTCTATTCTATTCTATTCTATTCTATTCTATTCTATTCTATTCTATTCTATTCTATTCTATTAATGCAGGCTATTTGCCAAATGCCCAAAATGACCTTGGGAGAGGTAAGTGGCCTTTGGAACTTCAAATCCAAAGAAAGGTGGTCTGTTGTAACTTTGAATAATTGAGCAGTTGGTGACGAGTACCTGTAATTTCATTGGAGGCTTAGTCTATAGTATGAGTCATGATTGCCATCTTCTTTAAAAACAAAAAGTTCCTCCCGGCAGCAAAAGACACAGCAAAGCAACTGGAGCAATTGTTTTACATTTTGGGGTTCCCTTTTTGTCTTTCTACAGCTTTGATGTCGAGAATGGCTTCTCTTCAGGACGAAGTCCCCTCGGTTCCCAGACCAATCTGGGTCTGGGACTTGTTTTACAAGGCACAACGCCCCACAGCCAACGTCGGGAGTCTTTCCTCTACCGATCAGACAGCGACTATGACCTCTCCCCGAAAGCCATGTCCCGCAATTCCTCCATCAGCAGTGACATGTAAGCAGAGATAACCCCGATACATTTTTCCGTCTTTTGCTAGCAGAAAGTGAGCCTCATCAAATCACACAAAGCCCATTTCTTCGACATCCTCCGTTATGTAGAATTTCTCGATGCCTGTAAAACCAGAGCCACACTAATCAGCGTGTCTCCAAGGGACAACACTATGACTTGGGGTGTTTGCAGTCCAGCTGCTGTAAGTCTAGTGGTCAGTCTGGCTGGGATTAAAGAAAGAGCACAGAAGAGTTCTGTTTCTTTAGCATTCTGGTATTTGCAACTAGAATAACCTTCCTCAGCTTCCCATTCTTCTACGTTTGGGAACAATCCCTTGTCAAGTTCAGTGGATTTCATGCAAGGCAGTGGGACAGAGTCTTATGAAATGATACAGGGCGGGTTCTGATCCAGGTTCTGATTTCACCTGGGATATGTTGAAAGATCTGCCATAATATGGAAAGGAAATTCCAAGGCCATCTATACGTACCAGGGCAGTTACTCTAGGTTAGCTGAGGACAGGGATGTAATCTGGATAGGGCACTTCATGCTGGGTTCAGAAATTGAATCCACTTTTTGGACTTTGTAGCCATTAACATCCTTCTCTTCTCCCCCTTGCAGGCATGGAGAAGACTTGATAGTTACTCCTTTTGCACAGGTAGGTATTCTCTTTAAGGGCTGAAAGTTGTCCACCCGTGTCAATCTTGGCATGCTCTGCCCCTGTGCCCAGTTAAGAACATGTTCAGAATCGTAATGATAATGTTGGCTTTCTCCAACCTAATATGTTAACACCCCCCCAAAAAGTCACTATTGTTGTGAATTGTAGCCTTATTTCTCTGGAAAGCATCAGAATGGGAGGACGGGTTGTCCCTCATGGACCCTTCCTCACTTTTTTATTATATTTTTGAACTCTTTCTAAAAGCTATTGAACTTGTTGACCATAGTCACGTAACAGAGCTAGATATTTGGGGAATTAATGCTGCATAATTGTTTTTTTATCTGTTTTTTTTTAATCTTCCTTATCCTCCCCCCAAATTTACATGTGTAAAAATAATGAATTTCTCTGCTTCCACCATGCTATGCGTAGCTTTTCGCTTGGAGAGGGTTGTAAAGCACTATGAAGCGGTATATAAGTCTAAGCGCTATTGCTATTTTCAGGCGTCCACTCTGCGTCCCATGGATTTTTATCAACCTTCTTGCTGCCCTTAATGTACATACCTCACATACAGGTAGTTCTCGACTGACAACCCTTTGTTTAATGACTGTTAAACAGCATTGAGAAAAGTGACTTATGACCAGCCCTCACACTTATCACCCTCACAGCATCCCAATCACAATCATGTGATCAAAATTCAGGCTATTTGACAACTGGCATGTATTTACAACGGTTTGCAGTCTCCTGAGGTCACTTCCAACAAGCAAAGTCAATGGTGGAAGCTGGATTCACTTCATGACCGTACGATTCAACTGCAGTGATTTAATAACTTGCAAAAAAAAAAAAAAGGCTGGTAAAATCAGGCACGACTCACTTAACAGCCTATTTGCTTAGCAATGGAAATTCAGGTCCCTGTTTGTAATTCAAGGATTACCTTGTTATATGGACTGGCATTCCCATACCCCTTTTTGGGGGATATCTCACTGTTCTGTAACAGAGTTCTGCAGGAGGAAAACATTTTGTCTCTTAAAAGAAAGGAAGTACATGGAAGAGTGAATTCACCACCTGGAGTGAGCAAGCAATTTTTCCCTCCTGGGATCCAGAGTTTTGGTACCATCTGGGAAGGAAGGTTAAAAACAGCCTCACCCTCTCCTTAATCAGAGAAGCAAGAGAAAAACTTCGATTTCTGGTAGTTGCAAGACCATTGAGAGGCAGAGTTGAGAGCCGGGGAGGAAAAGAGATTGACTAAAGACCGCAAACCCACACCTGCAAACATCACAGTATTCTCTAAAGCAGGGGTCTCCAACCTTGGCAACTTTAAGCCTGGCGGACTCCCAGAATTCCCCAGCCAGCTTAAAGTTGCCAAGGTTGGAGACCCCTGCTCTAAAGGAGGAAGGGAGTTTCAAAATTTGTATGAAGGGAGGCCTCCTAAGTGATTACATCCTTTCGGGCTTGGATTATATAACCTGGTCAGTTAAAGACCAAGAGCATAAAATATGTGAGACCAATTCCATAGTCGCCTCTTAAAACCCTGTGGTGGGATCGACCCTGAGGCCACCACCTCGTAGTCATAGGAGGCCAAACTTATTATGAGGTGCAGCGAATCCTCAATTTCAGGTGGCACAGGAGACAACTCCAATATTTAATCAAGTGGAAGGGCTGCCTCTTATCAGAGGCATCTTGGGTAAAAAGAGTAGGAATGTCCAAGCCAATCGCCTTGTAGCAAGATTCCATGCAGAAAATCCAACCAAGCCAGGGGTGGTGATTCGTGAACATAAGTTCTAGACCTGCAATAAATTTGTTTTCTTTTTCTGCTGTAAAGGTAACCTTCAAAAAGTTAGGGCAGCTGAATGTCAACTAAAAATACTTCTCTGGTCTTTTTAGTTGTCAGCAAAAAGGGAGTGGGGGAAAGCAGTGCATTCCTTAAAGGCTTCAGATAATGGCTTTGGCAACTGGCGGGCAAAATTATGACTGGAGAGCATGATTGATGACGCTTGGCTATGGATGTGTCTCATTGGAGAATATACATCCAGGGGGTGGGGGGAAGACCAGGGTCAAGGGTGAAATGAATGATGTGTCAAAGTCGGCTGCAACCGACTTTGTCAACTCCTAATAAATCAATCTTTTTTACTCAGAGATGCGGCTAGAGACTTATGATTTGAATGGGGGGTGCATGTTGGAGTCCTGACAGCCATATATGGTTGATTCTGAGGGATGCTCTTCTTCCCCCACTTGCAGGTCTTGGCCAGCCTGAGGACAGTTCGTAGCAACTTTGCTGTCTTGACCCACCTCCGGGAACATGTCTGCAACAAGTGAGTGACGGGTTCGAGGGGTGGGTGGGTGGGTGGGAAGGAAGGAAGGAATCATGTGGGGACTGGGCAATTAAAAGGGTGGTGAAACTGTGCCCCACTTTGGCATTCAATCAACCTGCAGAAACCCTTTTTATGATCCTGTAGCTTTTTCTGCATGATGGTTTGGCAAAGCAAAAGTGCATATAGAAGGAAGGCACCGTCTCTGGGGTCTCGTCTTTTTGTCCTCCCTATCGGGTACAAAGATACCTCAAGCACCGTTTGTAAGGACCGTGTTCTCATGACACTCCGTCTGCTGCAGAAATAGAAGCTGTTACAGTGAAATTTTCTCCGTTCTCCTGATATATAACCTGATGGTACGTACCAGAGGTGGTATTCAGCAGGTTCTGACCAGTTCTGGAGAACCGATAGCAGAAATTTCAAATAGTTTGGAGAACCGGCACCTCTGACTGGCCCCGCCCCCATCTATTCTCTGCCTCCCGAGTCCCAGCTGATTGGCTGGGTCTTTTTTTGTTGCCCTGCACAGGAGAACGGAGCTGGAAAGCAGGTTAGTGGGGTGGAGAGGGAATGGGGATTTTGCAGTAACCTTCCCCTGCCACGCCCACCAAGCCACGCCTTGCCCACTATGCCATGCCCACAGAACTGGTAGTAAGAAATTTTGAATGCCACCACTGGTACGTACCATTAGTCTATCTTGAGGATGTTATTGGTGATCGTGCGGTCCAGAACTTGGGTTTGCTGAATTTCTGTTGCCTGCTTAAGACTATTGCAGCACAGAGACATACCCATTGTGTCCCTGGGCCCTGCTCTCTGGGGCCGTTTTGGCTTTCATTGCAAGAATTTGGGCACTTGGCTTTCATGGAGGCATCAAGCTGTGGTGGCACAGTGGTCAGAAGGCTACTTCTGGTGGCTGCCAGCTGCCAGCAGTTAAGGCAATTCAAGTCTCAACAAGCTCAAGATTGACTCAGCCTTTCATCCTTCCAAGGTGGGTAAAGTGAGGACCCAGATTGTTGGGGGCGATAAGCTGACTCTATCAACCACTTAGAGAGGGCTCTAAAGCACTGTGAAGTGGTATATACATCTAAGTGCTGTTGTTACCCACATAACCCTCAACTGATTCATTTTATGAATATGGGTCTTCCAGTTTTCTGGAAAACTGGCAACCTGACTTTTGGCAGACTTGTCAACAACTAATAGAATTGTATGTACGAAAGAGCGGTCTGTATTAACAAGGGAAGACACATCTCATTGACCATACTCCCAAATAAACATATTACAGGATGTTTTTTTTTTTGCTAGTCCTAACAAGTACAGGTTTTGCATGGTCATTATTCTCCTAGTGTTATCTTTTTTTGTGTGGGGGGTACCCCAATTTTAACTACTCTAATGCATTCTTGTGTGTCCTGTGGGGGCTACCAGTTGCAGCCTCCATCTTTAATAGATTCCTGGGCTGTGAAAAAAAAATGAAAGAGCAAGTTCCCTTTTTCCCACAGAAATATTGATTTTCCAGAAGACTCTTCCCATGTTTAAAAAAAAAGGAGCACCACCAACAGAGGCGGAGATGTTGGAGGGAGCAGGATGATGCAGAATAGAGCTCCACTGATGTAGCTGTGAGCTCTTCCCAACTGACAGGCTGTGTTGTTTTCCTTCCCTCCCCCTCACCAGAAAAAAATATGACTCTTGACATGAACTCCATCTCCAGAAGACTGATATTCCCATGTCAAGAGAACAAACTAAGAAAAAAAATATATCCAGTCCGAGGGGCCCATGAGAGTAGCAGTGTGATAGGGAAAGAAGTGAGCTTTTTTCTGCTCCTTTCTACGACCACCAATCTGTCAGCTGGACTTGCTGATCTCCAAAGACCAACAATCAATGTTCTCTTAGGCTATAAGTGGCTAAACCCTCCATTCCAGGCACAAATTGGAGTGCCTCATCTTTGTGCCATCGGGCCACATCTAATGGAGAGCGATTCGTGATTGTTTTTCCCATCGGTAGGAGACACATGATGGGAGAGGAAAGGGAGCCGGGGAATTAAATCTGCACCAGAGCATCCCTTCCCAGCCGGGTTTCTGAGGCACAGTGAAGCTTACCTGTTGGCCTACTTTTCTTCTGATTCGGAGGAATGCTGATTTAATACAGCTAGGAACATCCACAGTGCCACAGGGTGCTGGGTTGTGCAGCTCCAAACAGAGGGAACATAACAAGAAACAGAGACAAAGGTGGGAAGTACATTTCTAGGGTGAGGATGAAATTCAACCACCTCGGCCCACCTCAGGAGAGGTGGTAGGGACGATTTGAATCGGTAAAAAATCGCCCCTGGTTGCGATTACTATTATACCAAGCATACCAAGCCACGCCCACAGAGCCGGTAGGGAAAATTTTTGAATTTCACCAGCAACTGTGTCCCAGGCGGAGGTCAAAACAGGTAAGATGGCAGATGCAAGGTCACAATGCAACAAGGCCCACATGCCTACAGGAAGGGTTCAGAAAAGCAAAGTGGGTCACTACAACCATGAGACTGGAGGGGCAAAGGGATGGAGCTTGCATTCGTGACGACAAGATGCCCGTCTCTGCCATCTTGCCTGTTTCGACCAGAGGGAAGGAAAACTTCACGACGTGAGAGCTACTTTTGTCCCAGTTTTCTGAAAGAGAGAGAGGTAGGGAAGACATTTCACAATTCTGCTCCCATCTAAAATTGTACTTCTTTGAAGTACAACCTCTTGGCATATTGGCAGAGCTAATTTTCAAGTAAATTTGCTTAGGAATGCAACCTTCTTTAAATTAGAGCTTATGGTTCAATTATAATTTGTATGCCGGTCACCATACTGTAATCCTACATGTGGGGGTGGGGGAAGATGCACTCTTGAGTAAGTAGCTTGTTGGGGGGACTTTTCCCCTCTCTCCATCACCAGCCACAGAGGCCTGCAGGGTTTCAGGGAAGCTTAACTTTATGCTATATTTTGCAGGCGAACATCTGGTCCCATCAATCCCCTCTCTACCTCTAAGGTCAATCTATCAGGTAAACCCTCTCAGCTGTCTCTGTGTTGTTTTTCTCCCCCCCCCCCACCTTTTTCAAAGTATTCTCCTTGAAGTAAAATGGCCTCACCTTACAAACTGGGAAGCTCATAAGCTTGTAAAAGGAAATCAGCTGACTTGGATCCAACTAGGTCTGCCTCATTCAGCGCCTGGCTTTCAAGAGAGGCCAATCAGATGCTTCCACAAAGTCTTCCAGAGAGACGCATAGGCAGATGGCCTTCCATGGTTGTTCCCAGTCACTGACACTCAGAGCTAGGCTGCCTCTGACTATAGAAGTCTCAGCCTTCTTCGATCATGGCTTAACAGCTATTAATAGACCTTCCCCGCTGAATTGGTCAAAATGGGCAAAGAGTTTCATAAGCTAAGCCCTGCGCACAAAAAAGCTTTTTTTTTAAAAAAAATAAAAAAATAGGTTAGCTGGTTAAATTGGAGATGCTGCAGACTCCTTTTTTTTGTGAGGCGCGAGGAAAAAACAGCCCTGTGTCTATATGTTCCTGCAGGATTTTACTTCTCTCACCCCTCACTTTAGTTGCTTCACCTGACCCCCCTCACCTCTGTGCTTTACCTTTTCCCATGTCTGAATATTGCGAAAGGATGATTTGCCCTTTTCCAAGTGAATTTGTGCCACAGAAGTTCAGGACTAAACATTCGGGGAGGCTCCTCGTGGCTTGTGTCTGTGCAGTGTCAGCAGGCAACTGTATTAAAGCCGTGGAAAAGAAAAGAAAAGGGGAAAAAAAAAAAGGTTTCTTCTTCCTAAAGAGAAAAGTGGAGGGGGGGGTGGTGGAGAGAGATGATTGGTGATACCAGCTCCTTTTCATGCATTGTGCATGAGAGTAGTATTGAGGCCCGCCTGCTGCAGGTGATTCTAACGGGAGCCTCCCAGGGCCTGCCTTGCCCCCCCCCCACACACCACCCCTGTGGGCTACTTGCCCGCCCACCCCTACCCGCCACACACCCCCTCAGCCTCTGCAGTCTGTGTTTACTCTGGGCTGCCCTCTCCCTGCCCCTCCTTCTCTGGCTCTGTTTCATGCTACCTCTGCGGCGGGTGGAACGTCTCCAATTGACGTCAGTTGTTCCATTATTCAAAAACGCTCTCTTTCAGCTGGTCTCTGCGGCCCCACAAGAGACAGGCCCTTCTGATGGGCAGCCCTTCCTTCCCTGCCTCGGGGCAACCTGAACTACCCCCCCCTCTCTCTCTCCTGCATTCTGCTAAACCTTTGGCCGACCCCTGACATCGGGCAAAGGGGTTCCAGAAGCATATATCAACCTCCCTGGGCTTGTCTGACAGAAGGCAGGGGATGCCATAGAGGCACATGCTGCAGTAAATTGAGGGGGGGGGATATTTGATGGCTCCCAGTGAGATAGGGTTAATGTGAGGGGGAGGCAACTTATATATCAATGCTATGGCCAAGCACTCTTTAGCAGGATTCCTAGGCTGTGGCATTCAAAAGTCCTAGAATGAAAAGGAGGAAAGCCTCTTTTACTTCCTTATCCCTTTCTCGTCTTTGCTTCCTTATCTTGCCCCTTTGGACAATGTCAGGGCAGCCTAAAGCCAGGATTTTGTACCAAAATTCAGTGTTTGGTTGATCATGATATACTGAATAAGTATAACTCCTTGCTTCACACATAATGCTAAGCCACTATGAATGAGCTTGTACGTTGAAGCAAAAACAAACTAAATTTAGCCTTCTATGAGGCATGAGCCCAGAAAAGGTTGAAATGTAGATTATAAGCTCCTTGAGAGCAAAGACCTATCCCATCTTATTTCTCTAGCCCTGTTTTTCTCAGCCTCAGCAACTTTAAGATGTATGGACTTCCATCTCCCACAATTCCCCAGCCAAAGTTGCTGAGGTTCACAAACTTTGCTCCAGCCATTTAAAATATATGCAAACTACATTTCCAGCAGGCATTCAAAGTCCAAACTGCTGCTTCAAGTAATTATAGACTAAAATTACAGGATAAAAGAGCTAATGTTAACAAAAGAAAATCTCAAAAGCAAATTAAAAATATTAGGATTGTAACCCTTAAGGATATTGGTCCAAAATAAGAGCATTTATTTATGTTGCAGAAACTCTGTTATAAATCACTAATACTTTTTTTCTGGCAATCCCATGTGGATTAGCATCGTGTTCCCTGAAGAGGCTAATATAATATTCTGAATCAAATGATCCTGATTACTGTGGATTTGCTTCCCAGCTGATTCCAAATATTACAACTGGGATCTTCGATAACTCTAAAATATTACCCTATTTATTTAGCCTCCACCTTCATAGTTCTGAGAGGATGTCATACATGTGAGCCACAAAAAATAAAAGCTGGACCATTTTTTCAAACTAGAACCAGTTTTTAGAATGTACCAATGTGGTTTCCACCTAGGGCTACCCAGGTTATTGGCAGTTTTGAACCTAATTTTCAGATGTGTGTGGAGACTCAACAGTGCCACTCCTTAATGTGGCATTGACATGCCTTCAAGATGGCATTTTCAGTGATGCTCTTTGCATTTCATAGAGGATGCCTACCAAAAGTTGGCTGTCGAGACCTTGGAAGAGTTAGACTGGTGCCTGGATCAGCTGGAGACTTTGCAAACACGTCATTCAGTCAGTGAGATGGCTTCCAACAAGGTAAGACATTCAACCCGGGTTGGGATTCAACTCCAAAGACAGAAGTTCCCCTCTTTCTCTCTTTCTTGACCATTGTCAACCTTGGGTATCAGTTCCCCTTTGGGCAGAGAACTGGTTGTTGTGTTATGACCATGGAGTTGGTTTCTTTTTTAAAAAAAATGCATATAAAGTTTTGCAAGAAAAGAGGAAGCCAAGGAAATGATGCAGGCTTTTTGCTTGAAGCAGATTAAAATCTGGGGAACAGCTGAAAGTTGAGAAATGGGGTTGCTGCTTAGAACATTCCACAACCCACCTTTGTAAAACAATTTTATGTTAGTCCAGAAGTCTGCAACCCCTGTTTGTCCAGTGCAAACAGGGGTTGTCCAGTTCTTCCCAAAATATATCCCTGTGCTGTTGCAACTAGAGAGTTGGGGAAGGCCTGCTCTGGGCCACATTGGCCATCAACCAGTGCCTTTCCCCAAGTTCACTCTGAAGAGAAGCATTAGTGAACTTCCTGAAGGGAAGCCTTAGTTGACCAGTTGTACAAATAAACAAACCATGATATAGGTCAGAAGAGATCGGAAGTGACTGCTATAAATAACTTTTATGTATTTAAGCAGGAAAAAAAAAATACCAGAGAAGACAGTTGAGGAGAAATAAAAGTACGGCTCAGTATTCAAAATGCTAAAATGGCTGGCAACTTTTATTGCCTTTCATTCAAAGCAATAAAAGTTCTTTCATTTTTTTTATACACTCCCAGTTTCTGATCCATTGATTCCAACAGAGTGGAAAATAATAATGAAAAAAAAAAGATACACTGTGCTGGAAGCCAGTCAAAAGTGAGTGTCTGTATGGCGGACACTCCAAACCATGAGAGTGGGGTAATACCCTCCCATTTGCAAGGTTAATATGACGATCTGCTGGCTTAATACAATGACCTGGAGCATAAACCAAACACTGCCAAGCTACCCAATTCAGTTTTAGCTCAAGATGTCCAGCCTATCTGTGGGGCAGAAAGACAGGGATATTTTTAAATAAGTGTCCTTCCCTTGTAACTTTTAGAACCTGAAAAAGAGCAGCCTTCCCTCGTGTCACTGTGAGCCCTTTTTACATAAAAAAGAGCCTTTTCCAGTCTTTGTCCACCCTAGGAAGAACACTCTCTCCAATTGGCAATGGTTTTCTTGAAGAAGGTGGAATGCGGGGAGGGGGTTATATCTCCCAGTATTCCTCTTCCGTGGTCCCTCTGAAAAGCCTTGGCTGTTGCTAAACAGAGTTTTTGGGAGCAACTTCCATGCTCTGTTGTGCCTGGGCACCACTGGGGTTAAAGCAAATCGCCTTCCTCAGAGGCTCTGCCAGCCAATCGGAGAGTTGAGCTGGCTCCAGCCTCTGTGGCTGTGGCTTCTGATTGGAAGGCAGCAGAAAGGAGAGGTACCTGATGCTGGAGCAGCCTTTGGTACATCCATGGAAGAACCTTTCTTCGGCGGTAATGCAGGGGGGGAGTTTGTCCCCCCTCCTCAGCTTCTGTCCTGACTCTCAGCCTTGCAGACAAGTCCTAGGTTTCCTTGTTGCAGAGCTTGGGACGGTAGTTGGGGCCCCTTGGTAGGAGCATCCGTGGTCTGACTAGGGCGCCTCAGAGAGAAGGGTGGGCTCGCACACAAGCTGCACTTTTGGCGTTGCGATGCCTGACGCCAGCACTTCGTTGTTCGCATTCTGGGACAGCAGCATCAAGGTAAGTGGGGACTCCCTGACCAAATGTAACTCTTGGAAAATCTCTCCAGCAAGAGGTGCAGGAAAGGGGTTTTGCCGCTGCAAAGATTTACTCACAGACACAAAACATCAAACACACACACATACGTACGCACACCCCTAAATGCATGCTGTTCTGCAGCAGTGGGGTTGCCTTTCTCTCTCTCTCTCTCTCTCTCTAATTGTTCAGGTATCCTCTCCTTATCTCAGGAGCTGACGGGAGGTTTCTGCTTTTGGTACATCAGTAATGCTTTTATTTTTATTTTTAACCTTGTTGAAAATACTCTCAAAGGAACTCTGTGAAACTGGCTGAATAATGCCGTCAGCCAGACGAAACAGGACTTCTGGGGGGGAGGGGGGTGTCCCCCTCCCCACATAATATGTCACTTGATGAAGAGACATTTATAAAAGAAGCTTATTTCAAAGTGGGCAAAAAAAAAAATACAATCAAGGCAATTGTGTGTGTTTTAAGTTATACAGAACTCTTCTTCCCACCAGCTGAATTTTTAAACAATTCTAGAAAAGGACCAGGTGCATTAATCCACATTGTAGAATATAACTCCACATTGTCTCACATAAGTATAATACTTTTTCATTAAGGTGAATCCTATAAGAGGATGGAAGGCTTCTTTCAGTATGGATGACATCTGACTTGGAATTAGGTCATGTTGGAGAAAAGCCGTAAAATATACAACATGAATGTATCTTTGCATTTATCACCCAATTCTTTATGGAGTTTCTTGGGTATTCTCCTCTTTTCCAGAAATAAAAATGAATTTTTACACTAGTTTTGAAGCAAGATTTTTGAGCTCACCTTTGAGGTTTGAAAATTTTCAAATTTTCACTTTTAAAAATGTAAAATTGAAGATTTATTTAGGATTTGTGCAATCAGAATTCCCCAAGTCATTGTTTTTTTAAATTTTCTTTGATGTTTCTTCTTCTCCTATGGCCATACATGCTACCAGTAATGCGCATAATTTAAAAGCTTACAAAATAACGAGAAGATAGATAATATGTTTGTAGCTCATCAAAAGACTTTGATGTGGTTTAGCTTTTCCAGTGCATTTTTCAACATTTGCTTTCTTTTGACTCATTTTCATGTCTCAGGTACTATGCTAACTCGATACCTATTATTTTAATGTTTAGAAATCAAAGTGGATGGACGTCTTTGCTTGCAATTTGGCAATGCTTTCTCAGATTCTGAACATAACCAGAAGCCAGCTGAGAAAATTCAGAAATTAAGAAGTACAGATATTTTTCTGCTGTTGAAGTACCTTATTTGAAATATCTTTCCTTGCCACTGATCTCTTTCTTTAACAATGGCCTCCTGTTCAATGGTATCTTTAAGACCAGGCACATGGGATTCAGATGCTCCTGATGCAAATGTTGTGATGGATCCTTACAGATTGATGATTTCCCCTCCTTTCTGTCTCTAGTTTAGAAGAATGCTCAATCGAGAACTGACACACCTCTCGGAAACAAGCCGTTCTGGAAACCAGGTATCCGAGTACATCTCCAACACATTCTTGGGTGAGTCATCAGCTTTATGGTCTTCAAATGCGATTTTTGAGGAAATTGTTAAATTGATATGGAAGAGTAAGGACAGTCACTTCTCTAAGGGGAGGCAGACGTAAACTGTTAAAGAAATGTTATTTCCGAGCAGTAGCTTTAGCAATAGGCCTTAAAGATCTTTAGAAATACAAGTGAAAAATACTGAATTCTTTTGCAGTATTTTCGGATTCCAGGTTTCTAGAAAAACTAGCATCCTTCTTGTGAGGTTATCACTATTCTCTTTTAGAACACCATAAAGAGAAATCTTGGAGAGTTGTGCTGTAGCAAACCTACCAAGCTGTCTAGTGCAGTATTCTGTTCCTACAGTGACGAACCGAACATCACTGGGAATTCTATAATAAAGACATAAATGCTATCTTCTTCATGTACAAGCTGAGTTCCTGACCGTACAAGTTGACAACCAGTGGAACAGACTGCCACATGAAGTGATCAGTTCTTCTCTAAAAATCTTCAAGAAAAGGCTAGATATTCAACAGCATAGATGTACTAGTGCAGGGATAGGGAAACTTGGCTCTTTTATCACTTATGGACTTCAACTCCCAGAATTCCTGAGTGAGCCATAAAAGGTTCCCTGGCCTATGTCCTGCATTTGTATATTAAACAGTCCCATTCAAGTCAAAAATTGATTTCCCCCACAACTGAAAAACCAGTAGGCCAGGGATGGGGAACCTTTTATGGCTCACTCAGGAATTCTGGGAGTTGAAGTCCATAAGTGATAGAAGAGCCAAGTTTCCCTACCCCTGTACTAGTGGATCCTGTACTGAGCAGGAAGTTGGAGTAGGTCCTTCCAGCTCTATTCTGTATTTTGCCATAATGAGTATTCAGAACTGTAGTTCCACCTGATATTGGTGGTGACATACACCTCAATAATGGACAATCTCATTCTTGTCTAATCTCCTTTTTAAACGATCCGAGTCGGCATGCATCACTGTGACTTGGGAACACCGAACACCATAGTTAAACTTTTTGTTTGCTGAAAAGTGGTTCCCTTAATTAGTCCCAAATATCTTATCATTAAATTTCTCTTCCTAAGAGATCCATTATCTACCATTACTGCATTTTGACTATTCTAGTACACCTCTAGCATATCTCCTCTAATGTATATCTTTTTTATCTAAATTCCCCAGCTTTTTACATATTTTACTTATTTTCCTGATAGCGAATTAGCTTTAGCCCTACATTGTTTTGGCTATTCTTTCCTGCACCTTTTCCAGTACTATTAAAAAATTATATTAAATGCAGCAACTGTATACTAGAAGTATGAAGCTAGTAGCATCATTCATTAATTCAATTTCTATAGCCGTCCTATTCAACCAAGTGACTCTGGGCAGCTTACAATCTAACATGATAAAGCAATTTAAAAAATATTAAAAGAATAGCACATCCACAAAATATATGTATGAACAGCAGCTGTGATGATTTATCAAATAACAGCAAAGCCAATTTAACTTCATTTCTTTTACTAAAGATTCCCAAAATGGAATTAACCTTTTGAACAGGGACTGCATGTTGAGTCTTGTTTGAGATAATCACTGCAATCCCAAGATCCTTTTCGTGGATCATCAATGAGTCTTAAAAAATTAGGTTACGCTGGGTAGCAAATGTACATCTTGTGTAGAATAATAGCGCTTACCAAATGTGGATAGTATAATGCAAACATACAGAGATTAGCCAAATATAATAATATGTATCTGATTTTAATTCTTCAAATTTTATTTGATTCATAAAATGCTATCCTCAATTTTCAGACAGACAAAATGTCCAAAAGATGGATATACTGTATACAGAGAATAATATTATAGATAATAAAATACTTGGTTAAAATGGTCTTAGTCCATTAGGTCATCAGTACTTCTATATATGTCCTTTTGAAGAAATTGATATTTTGCACTCACATACAAGTTGGCAAGTATGTTTTCATTCTGGGGGCAGCATTTGTATTGTGGCACAATCTCTCCTTGAAACTCATATGCCTCCAATGATATCTTTTAGAATCCTGTTGAAGACCTGTCTATTCACCTTGGTCTTCTGAATATGAAGAAAGATCATTGAATGATTCCTTAATTGGATTGTTCTCCTTTTTCCTCTCCTATTCATTTTTACTATCAAGGATAGGCATAGCATTCAAAAGAATCATTTCTCCAAGTATCTCTGTTGAAAATATGAAGGCAACCATGTCCTTGACAAGGCTGGCACGGCTATTTTGAAATCTTTATCCGGTTCTTTCTGTATATACACGTGTGTGTCCAGTTATTTTGTTTCTCTGACAGTTTTTTCCCCACATGTATTATCTATGCATGCACATATGGGCAGAGACAACTGGGACAGAAGCAACTGCATGAGCTTTGTGAGCGAAGTGGCTGTTTTAATGCTTCAGAGAGAAATGCTTCTCTTGCCCTAATGTACTTTTTAAAATCCTTTGCACAATCTATTTTCATAGTGATTTAGATGTTGCCTGTATTATTCCATTATAATACCGGTAATTTTGTTGTAAACCACCTGGAGAAACAATTGTAGGTGAAGCTATATAGAAATATATAAAATAATCACATATAGATCAAGTGTACTGATAATGCACAAGAACAGTAGGCAACAATACGTCTATTCTGACTTTGATATGCAAACTGAAATGGGCAAAAGGAGGGAAACATTGGTCTTTATTAAGATATAAAATAAATGCCAACATTTTACTTCAATCTGCCTTCTTGTTTTTCAAGGAGGCAAAGATGCAGACAAGATTGGTTCATTCTTCTTAGCTTTGCCTTTTAAGTTTCTTCTGTGGAGTGGATGTCATCATCATCATAATACAATAGAATTTATTTTATTTTATTATTTTAAAAATTTAAAAATCAATACAAGATGACCCTGAATAACTGAAACTTCTGCTGGATTTGAAGGTCATTGAAAAAAATATGTTTAAAATACAACACTTCTAAAAAAAAGTAATTAGAATAGAATTACCATCTCTAAGCTGAAAACATCTGGACAACCACTAGATGGCTACAGCAAGTTAGAGTTGTCTAACTTCTAACTGCTGCCTTCTAATGATCATCCAGATGTACGCAGTCCAGATAATGACAGTCTTACAATAAAGAAATTTTTCTGAAAATGAGTAGTAACATTTATGATTTAAAAAGAAAAGATGGATCAATCAAAAAACATTCTAAGCAGTTATCTTGGAAGGAAATCCTAATCGTATTGTTCTTATTCAGATCTTATATATATTAATAAAGAATATGCTTTGATTATATCACTATTGTTGCTTGAAAACTGATTTCACTTAGCAATTTTTAAAAATTAAAACGTTATAGGAAAGTCACGTAGTTTATAGCCTTGCTTTTTGCAAAATAGTTTAACAGAAAGTTCTTCCCGTTTGTTCTCTCCATGTATGTGACTTTTCTTTCTCATGTGTTGTACAAGTTTGAGTATATACGTGTATGTGTGTGTGAGAGAGAGAAGACAGGTGAGGTGGGGAGACCCTGGCTGGTCTTAGAAACATCACTTTCAGGAAAGGACCGACATTCCACCACGCATTGTCTCTGGTTGCCATGGTGTCTGTAATATTATTAGTTTCTGCTGACGTCAATCCTTCTGTGCCTCAATATTGGGGGAGGGTCTCCCTTTGAACAGCAGGAGACTCGTGCAGGGGTGGGGGCTTTTCATACTCCACTTTTTACAGCATGCTTAACTCTTTGGTTTCAGAAATGTTTCAAGGAGGACAATTGTTAATGCTGGACAGGGAATTTGCTAGCTCATAGCAACTTTGAAATGAGAAGGCGGAATCCCCAACTCCAAGTGGGGAGAAAGAGTATGTGCTTTTTTAACAAGATACAGTTTCTTCATCCTTCTCTATCGCCTCCTCTTACTTTTTGTCTTGAATTTAGATTTTGCAAAGCTTCATGGAGATGTAAGGTGCCATATTACATAATAGGACAACAGGACTCTGCTCCTCAGAGTAGTAGGAGCAAAGATCTAGTTTGGTTTATGTTGATTCTTTGGAGATTTTCAAGATACTGTCACGACACAATTTTTTTTCATCACAGATAAAGGAAGTTCATAAAGGTCCTGGATCTTATCATGAACCATCAGATCATCTAAGCTGTCAGCCTATATTTTGTTCCTTTCATAGCAGGGAAACTGTTTCTTTAGGGGAGCTTCTTCTATTGTCATTCATGATTTCAATAGGAATTCCCATAAGCTTCTGAAGAATTTTGGGGATCTTCGTAACAGGACTTGTTCCATTGCTATTGTATTTTCTGTCTCCTCCAGACAAACAGCATGAGGTGGAAATCCCAACCTCTGTTCCCAAAGAAAAAGACAAGGAGAAAAAGAAGCGGCCAATGTCACAGATCAGTGGTGTGAAAAAACTGATGCATAACTCCAGCTTCAGTTGTGCTGCCATCCCTCGTTTTGGAGTAAAAACGGATCAGGAAGGGCTGTTGGCTAAGGTGAGGAACGCCAGGCAATGGAAAAGACTGGAACAGGAAAGCTGGCATGGTTCACGACATATTTTGATTGTATATGCATATTCTGAATTTTGTCTAAATACAGAATTGATGTTCAACGTAAAGAAGACCTTCCACCAAAGCATTTAAAAACATTTCTAATCTCCAAATTGTATAGCTTAACTACAGTAAGAATGTTAAGGTGGCAAGCTATATTTTTTCCCCAGGTATATAAATTAGTTTGGAGGCTATGAGGAGAGGGGGGGATATGGAATAGATAGCATTAATTGTGGCTCCACAGTTGTGGGACTCCCTTTAGTTGCTTCCTGTTGAGCCGTAAGCAAAAACACTTTTCTTTGTGAAAATAATTGTGTTGCTTGTTACATGCATGGAAATCTGCCAATTTCATGTTATTTTAATTGCTTAGTGTTTCATTCTTATTGTGGCGTTTTTAAACCTGCTGTAAAACATCTTGATAATAATATGATTGTTCTTTTGATTGGTGGGAGAAAGAAGGGCATCTGGCAGGGGCAACCAAGAGGAGGAAAGGAAGACAGGATTCTTCCGAGAAATAGAGGGAGGGAGAAATCCAGAGGGCGATATTGGAACTGAAATAAAAGCTGAGAAGAGGCGAAAGAACTATAGTGATGAAATGGAAAAATAGAGAACAAAAAAAGGAAAAATAAGGGGAGGGCAGTGGAAGACAAATTGAATGGTTTGGAAGAAAAGGAAATAAAGAAAATACAAGGAATTGGAAAGATACTGAGACAAGACATGCACACGCACACTTATATTATGTATGTGTGAATATATAAAAATCTAGGAGCCATATATTCCCATGTCAGTCTTTGCAATATGACTTTGATAAATGCCCTTTCAATTGAGTACAATGTATTGTGAATCAGTTCACTTAATCACATAATGTATCACAGTTCAGTTTGAGTTTTTGATGTACTTTCTCCTGCTTATTTTAATTATCCTCCTACTGAAAACTTTAGTAATTTTTTTATATGTTGTTCAGTTATGCTAGGGAAGTCTCCTTATTTGGAGAGACAGGGAGGCAGTTTGTTTCTCTTTGTTACTTGGCAGAGTCCAACATTGTAGCAACGTCTTTTCTTGCCACCCCCTTTAGGAACTAGAAGATGTGAATAAATGGGGCCTTGATGTATTCAAGATTGCAGAGTATTCTGGCCACCGCCCACTAACAGTCATCATGTACAGCATCTTCCAGGTGAGCTGACTCTTTTTCACAAAAAGTATCAGGTTCACAAAGTTGTTATTGAAATGTCAAAAGCTAAATGGCGGAGCAGAGATACTGCAGTTTTATCATTAAACAGGGCCACTGGCCTGGAAGAATCCAAAGAAGTAATTCAGTCCATATATATATATTGATTGATCAATAATGTAATGCAGGTTCATTAGGAGGAACAGGAGGTGAGGAGCATTCTGAGGGCTGTGGACCCTAGAAAGGCTGCCGGTCCTGATGGTATCTCTGGCCGAGTGCTTAAAGACTGCGCCGATCAGTTGGCTGGAGGCTTTACCAGGATCTTCAATTGGTCTTTATCCCAGTCCACTATTCCATCTTGTTTGAAGGCTTCCACCATTGTTCCGCTGCCAAAGAAGTTCCCTATCAATAACCTCAACGATTACAGACCAGTGGCACTCACTCCTATCATCATGAAGTGCTTTGAGAAATTGGTCTGCCGGCACATCATTTCTGGTCTTCCGCATCCATTTGATAAACACCAGTTTGCATACAGAAGAAATAGATCTACAGAGGACGCAAGAGCCATCACTCTTCACACTGCTCTGACTCATCTAGAACAGCGGGAGGGCTATGTGAGGATGCTTTTTGTGGATTTTAGTTCTGCGTTTAACACAATTCTTCCACATAGACTAATGTCTAAACTTCTGGACTTTTTTATTCAATCTGCCTTTGGATTATGGATTTCCTGTCTGGCCGCTCACAGACGGTCAGATTAGGTAATCATACCTCTTCAGCCCTTATTCTTAACACTGGTCCACCACAGAGTTGTGTGTTGAGTCCCTTACTCTATACTCTTTATGTGCACGACTGCATTCCCATTCACGCTAGTAATATTATTGCTAAATTTGCAGATGATACAACAGTGGTGGGACTCATCTCCAGGGGTGTGGTGAGTCTGCCTATCGAGATGAGGTGGACCGGTTGCTTTTGTGGTGTGGAGACGATAACATGGTCCTCAACACCAATAAGACCAAGGAGCTTATAGTGGACTATAGAAGGAACAGATCAGACATTCAGCCCTTGCTTATCAATGGACACTGAGTGGAGCAAGTGGCCAGTTTTAAGTTTCTGGGTGTTACCCTAAAAGAGGACCTGACCTGGGGTGCTCACATTGCAGCCCTGGTCAAAAGGGCCCAGCAGAGATTATACTACCTGAGACTTCTCAGAAAACAACAACTGGATGAAAAACTGCTGGTGACCTTCTACCGCTGCACCATAGAGAGCATTTGAACTTACTGCACCCCTGTATGGTTTGCCAATTGCACAGTGGCAGATAGGACTGCACTTCAGTCCAAAGGGTTAACGTCATTGCCCAGAAGATCACTAGTTTCCCTCTCCCCTCTTTGGAAGAGCTTCCAGTGCCTTAAGAAAGTTCAAAATATTCTCAAAGATCCATCTTATCCTGGGAACCCTTTTTTTGTACTATTACCATCTGGCAGACGGTACAGAATAATAAAAACAAGGACAAATAGGCTGAAAAACAGCTTCTATCCCAGGGTAATAGCTCTTTGGAATTCTGCTGTATAGTACAGTGTTGGTGCGGTGTCAGGGGTTTTCGGTTCATGTGTGGAGGGTGAAGGATGTGTGTTTATGTTTATTTTCATGGTCATGGTCATGATGTGCACTGAAGATGGTGTTTGATTTCGTTGTATGAGGTGCAATGACAATAAAGTAAACTAAACTAAACTAAATGACATTTTAGGCACTAATGGCCCCTTCCACACTGCTTTAAAAGCCTTACACATTTTGTTATTATGCCTACTTTGCAACAACATCATACTGATTGACTTGGAAATTATAGGGTATTTTTTTAGGAACTGTGGCTAGAGTAAGAGATTTATTCTGTCCTTGGCTAGTTTTGAAATCTCAGGAGAAAAGCCGATTTTGGTTTCATGAGTTCTTCCTCCAGCTCTCCTTTTCCCTCTTTCCCTGATGATTTGACTTGGGAGGGTTATAGCAGTTTCCTTCTGTATTGTCCACATTGTAGGAAAGAGACTTGCTGAAATCTTTTCACATTCCTGCGGATACCTTCATCACATTCATGATGACCCTGGAAGATCATTATCATGCTGATGTTGCCTACCACAACAACATTCATGCAGCTGATGTTGCCCAATCCACACACGTATTGCTTTCAATGCCAGCTCTGGAGGTGAGTCTACAGAAAGGCTTTTGGGGGGAAGCTTTGAAATAGGCTGGGAAAAAGAGAGAATTGTTGCTTTAATTGTTGGAACAATTCTTTCTAGTCATTTGGGAGGCTTTCTATAGGACAAGAACAAGCTATGCAATTAAACCCCTACTAGGAAAATCTTTGAATTCTGCGACCCTCAGAGAAAAAAGCTAATTCTTCCAAGAAAAAAAAAATTCTGGTATGCTATAAGAGAAGAGACCAATAGTTCATGGAATGGAATTGTAGCATCGTAGGATTGAAAGCAACCTTGGGGATCTTCAAGTTTAACTCCGTTTGAATTACCTTCCTGTATACACTGATACATTGTGAAATCTCAAATCTAGTGTTCCATTCATATGTTTATTGGTTTCTTCCATCTTTTCTAATGCTGTTTCTGCTCCTTCTGTTCTCCCAGGCTGTTTTCACTGACTTGGAGATTTTGGCTGCCATTTTTGCAGCTGCCATCCATGATGTTGACCATCCTGGCGTTTCTAACCAGTTCCTGATAAATACCAGTGAGTGAATCACCTTTTACACCAAATTTCATTTATTCTTCAGGGTATTAATACTGTCTGCAGTCTAATCTATTTTAGGTCTTATCCACAGGTCTTAGGGATGCATCTTACATGTCTGCTGTCCTTCTGTCCTTAAATCGGAAGGAACGTATACCAACATGAAAGACAACCCCACAGCCAACATTTACTGTGACTGAGCAATAGAGCTGGTTAGTTTGCTACCTGAACCCAATGTAACATTGGATAATTTTAGGAAGCCCTGCTGAGCTTCCACCTCCATTCGGACATCATTAACCAGCAAAAAATTGCTCCCTGCTGGGTTGGAGGACTCCAGGTCCTTCAGTCAGCTGAAATATTTTATGTAAGGGGTTCAATGTTCAATTCTTCTTTTAACACCCTGTCCTATTAATGTTGAAATGTTGGAAGACTGGGAGATTGATATTCCCATAGCAAAAATACTCTAGAACAGGGTTTCTCAACCTGTGATTCAGACCACTGGGGGTCACGATGTCACAGGGGTCTGTGAAGGCTTGAAGAAATGTTATGATTTCAATCTTGAGTTAAATCTTGGTAGTCCATGGCCATGGTTCATGGCCACGAAAGGTATTTAAAAGGGGTCCATCCGTGGTTGAGAAAAGGTTGAGAACCACTGCTCTAGAAATATTCCAAACTGAAGCCCCTCATTAAATATTGAGAGCTCAGTCTCAATATTTAGAACTCATCATCATAAGAAAGCAAATCACTTGATTTATACTCTTCTGGAAATTGAGATCTATCAGTGTTATACCATTTCCAGAAGACTTCTTCTCCCCCTGCTACTATCTCCTTACTTCTGTTGAGAGGCCACCAATGGTTTGGGACAAAATTTCAAAGAGAAACCCAGACTATAGATCTCTTCTTGAAGCAGCATTTATCTATAGTAAGAGTAGAATATTGTTAGGAATATAAGTCACCTAACAGGTATTTGGGTTAGAAATATATAAACCAGGATAAACATTTTAAAACTGTATCTTTAGGAAAATGCAAAACTGTAATTAGGTGTGGTTTCTCAAACGGCCATAAGATGGAGCCAGAAACCTGGTTTGTCTTAGCCTTAGTCTCAGAAGAGAGTGTGAGTAAGTCTCTGTTTCCTTCTGTTGGAAAGTATTGCCGTTCCTCCATTTCTTCTAATTGACTGCTGTTTCTGGATTTGATGTAAGTTTGTTACTGAACTGTTTTTGACACTGGAATTTGTTACTGAATTATCCCTGGATTGAAAACTGACTGATTTAACTTATGAATGACTTTGGATTGCTTGTTTGGACTTTGCTTAATGTTTCTGGAAGTAAAAACCTACATTTACTGTACAGTGTATCTGTGTGCTCTGTATTATTCCAACACTACTCTCTATACGTCTTCCTGTTTGCGCTCATTCTCCTAACGGGGAATTACCTCAACAAATATCACAGATAAATTTTGGAGTGGCCATCTTAAACCACTTAATTCTTGAAAAAAATACTGAGCAAGTGGTTAATTCTATTGAATCAGTAAAGTGCTGACTTTTCATATGCTTTAAAAGTTGTTTCAGTACCTATTAATGTGGACATTGGAACTGTGTGGTCTATGGTTTAACTTGGGGTAAAACTTACTACAAAGGAATGCAAACTCAGGGATCAGTATTTGGTTTGAGGAAAGTTGGAGGCAAGGCACACAAAATAAAAGGCAGAGTAATTTGACATGGAATGTTTTGAGGCCGAAAGTGAACTGATTAGAAAAATCATATTATGTAAAGAGAAGCTGGCTGAGAACTCCATCTAGAACTTTATACTCCTGAAGAAACAATACAAATGTCAAAATAAGAAAATAGAATTACCTATGCATCTTGGCAGCAATTGATAACAAGATCTCAAGCCAGAAATACTGTTCTTCTCTGGTGACCGATAGCTGGCACCAGATTGACAGGTCCCTTCTCCTTCCCCACTTCTTACCTGCCTCTGTGTGGGAGGACTATTTTAGAGCACTGTAGTCTCAAGAAGTGTCTCCTAAATTCATTTTAACTCATAATGCTAACCTGCTCTCTAATTGGGTCCCATTTTCAAGTGCTGAAATAAAGATGTTTACAAATCATCTAACGCCTAGTAAGGCTCTTGAAATATTATGCAATAACTGGGAATGGTGGGCCTCAATTTTTGCTTCCCTGTTTGCTTATATACTGATCAGTCTGTGCAATCAGAGGATTGGGGCCTAACCATCACAGTGCCTATTTTTTTTAAAAGGTACCTGAGACCTACCTGCTAATTATAGGCCTGTTAGCCTTTTAAATAAATAAGCTTTAGGCCTGATCATTATACAATAAATTAAGTTGTCTGGATCAATCTAGAGCAGGGGTGGGCAAACTACGGCCCGCGGGCCACATCCGGCCCGTTGGTCTGTCCAATCCGGCCCGCCCCTGAAAAAAATCGCTGCCATTGGTCTGTCCAATCCGGCCCGCCCCTGAAAAAAAATCGCTGGGCGTGGCGTATTGCCCTGTGCCGCGTGGCCCCCAAAGCTGCAAAACAGTGCGGAGCGATCTAGGGGTAGGAAAGAAAAGAAATTTGCAAAGGCCTCGGCTGGGAGTTTGAAATCATTCCCAAAAAATCTTGTGCTGACCCGGCCCGTCTGTCAAATTTTAAAAGTCAATGCGGCCCCCGAGCCAAAAAGTTTGCCCACCCCTGATCTAGAGCATATTTTGGCACACGAGCAAGTGGGTTTCAGGACTGGACATTCTATTTATGGACATGCCCTTATACTTCAACACCTGGATGGATAATAAACATCTAAAATGGGCTTAATATTATATACTGCATTTACTGATTAGGGGTCCACATTCTATATAGTTCCTAGGAAGGATATGAATTAAGCTTGTGAATACAATAGTCCTCTAATACAACCACAATTGAGCCCACACTTTCTGTAGCTAAGTGTGTCAGTTGTTAAGCAGGTTTTGCCCTTTTTTATGATCTTTCTTGCCACAGTTGCTAAATTAATCTGTGCAGCTGTTAAGTTAATAACAGTTAGTTAAGTGAAACTGGCTTCCCCATTGACTTTGCCTGTCAGAAGGTCACAAAAGGTGATCACATGAGCCCAGGACACGAAGCCATCATAAATATGAGTCAGTTGCCAAGCTTCTGAATTTTGATCATGTGACCATGGGATGCTGCACAGTCATAAGTATGAAAAATGGTCATAAGTCAGTTTTTTATTTTTGTTTTTTTGTTTTGTTTTTTATTTTTTTATTTTTATTTTATTTTATTTTTTTATTTTTGGTTTTATAAAATTTTTATTGTTTTTTAAAACAAACATAAACAAACAAAACATAAAAACATCAGGCCATCTTCCATATATGTACATACAGTGTGCCGGTTGGTTTACAAATTGTTTTGTGCTTCCATTTCGTAGTCTTCAATTACAATTACATTGTATATGATCTCATATTTTCAATCCAATATTAAATACATTGGTATCATTATTAATCAATCATTTGACTATACTTTTATTCATTCATGCTTTGGAAAATAATCATATTTTACTTAATTTGTTTTGTGACAATTCATATTATCATCCCAAATCTATCCTAAAAACATTTTGTAGATATAATAAGAAAAGAATACATCTTTATATATTTAGTATTTTCTAAAAGTCTACATATTTCGTTACTATACTTTATTGTCTAACCATTGATAGAATAGATCCCAAACTTTATAAAATTGTTTATCATCCTGTTCTCTAATTTCAAATGTCAATCTGCTCATTTCAGCACATTCCAATATTTTCTTAATAATTTCCTCCTGTGATGGTATTTTCTCATTTTTCCAGTTTTTAGCAAATACAATCCTAGCCGCTGTTAATACATTTGCAATCAGGTATTTCAAATCTTTACTCTATATTTCAGGTAAAATTCCCAATAAAAATATCTCTGGTTTCAAGTCTATATGCTTTTTTGTCATTTTTTCCAACCACGTGTGGATTTTAGTCCAGTATTTTTTAGCATCCGCACAAGTCCACCACATATGGTAATATGAGCCAGGTGTCTGATGACATTTCCAACATTTTTCAGATTTATTCTTGAACATTCTTGCTATTCTTGTTGGGGGGGAAATGCCACCTGTAAAACATCTTATACAAATTTTCTTTATATGCTGTTGACATTGTCATTTTATAATTTTGAGACCACAATTTTTGCCATTTCTCTAGATCAATCCCATATCCAAAATTCTTCCCCCAAGCAATCATAGTTTCTTTAACTTGTTCTTCTTCTAGTTTAATTTCTAATAAATATCCATACAATTTTTTAATCAACTTGTCATCAGTACCTGTAAATCTTATCTAAATCAGTCAGTTTATCATAGAAACCTTCTGTTTTAAAATCTTTTTCATACCTTAAATGTATTTGCGCATATGAAAACCAATCCATCTTTATACCTTGTTCCTCTAGTTTTTGCATAGATTTAAGTTCACCCTTTTCATTCAATATTTCACCATATCTAACTGTTTGTTCCTTTTTGTATATTATAGGATAAGAAAATGCTTCAATAGTCGATAGCCAGACTGGAATTTTCAAATAACATTGTCTTTTAATCTTCTCCCAGTTTAACCACAGAGACTCCCGTATATAATGTCTTCTAAAGTACCCCTGTGTTTTAAAAGTTCCTTTATACCATAGAAAAGCATGCCACCCCAACAACAGATCATGTCCTTCTAATGTCAACAATCTAGTATTTCTTAATGTTATCCATTCCTTAACCCACATCAAGTTTGTAGCTTGGTAATACAACTCCAAATTAGGCAAACCAAATTCCCCTCTTATTCTAGCATCTTACAAAAGTTTTAACTTTATTCTCGCTTTCTTACCTTGCCATATAAATTTCAACAGTTTTATTTAAATCTTCAAAATAGTCTTTTCCAAGCCTAATTGGAATTGTTTGAAACAAATGTAAAATTCTGGGTAATATATTCACCTTGATTGTTGATATTCTCCCTATTAATGACAGTTGTAAATTTTCCCATTTTGCCAAATCTAGCGCTATCTGCTGTTTAAGTTTGATATAATTATTCTCTTTTAGTGTACTGCGTCTTGCTGTCAAGTATATCCCCAAGTATTTGATCTTATTCGTGACCTGAATTTTCAATAGGTCTGCCAGTTCTTCCTTTTGTCTTGATATTATATTCTTTGTCAAGATCTTTGTCTTATCTTTATTTATTTTCAAACCAGCCACCTTTCCACATGTCTCTATCTTTTCTATCAATTTTGATGCTGTTTCTAGTGGGTCTTCTAAAATAAAAACCAGATCATCTGCAAATGCTTGCAACTTAAATTCCTCCTTTTTAATTTTCATCCCTTTTATATTCTTTTCATCTCTAATATTTCTATTTAGCACTTCCAAAGTTAACACAAACAACAGAGGTGATAGTGGGCACCCTTGTCTTGTTCCTTTTCTTATATCAATAGAGTCTGTCAGTTCTCCCTCTATCATTACCTTTGCCGTTTGCTTATGATATATAGTTTCTATTGCTTGAATAAATTTTCTAGCAAAGCCCATCTGTTCCAGCAGTAACAACATGAATCGCCAATTCACATTATCAAATGCCTTCTGTGCGTCTAGAAATATCAAAGCCATTTGTTTTTCAGGATGTGCCTCGTAATATTCCAAAGTGTCCAAGATTACTTTCATATTGTCTTTAATTTGTCTCTTTGGCAGAAATCCATTTTGATCAGGATGAATAAAATTATTTAAGTATTTTTTAAGTCTTTCTGCCAATATAAGTCACTTTTTTCAGTGCCATTTTAACTTCGAACCATCATTAAACAAACTGTTGTAATTCAAGGACTACCTGTACTACCATCAAAAGGTGGTAACTGTTCCTTATCCATAGCATTTATAAGAATTGTAGTATGAATTCTATATTCTAATTCCAATGAGATTCCAACTTATGCAGGAGTGAGCCTGGATGTATTTTATCTTCTTGCTGTTTAATTTGTGCATAAGTCCACTCAAATAATCAGAATATTTTTAGCATTTTTTTTTAGTATTTATTTTGATTTGTCAATCGCTTACAAGATACAGGAATAAGAATAAATATAGTTTTGAATACATGAGATAGATACTTATAAGAAAAATAAAGAACAATAGGACAGGGATGGTAGGCACGATTGGTGCACTTATGCATGCCCCCTACAGGCCTCTTAGGAAGGGGGTGAGGTCAATAGTAGACAGTAGACGAAGGTTAAAGTTTTTAGAGTTTGGGAAGAAATCACAGAGTCAGGTAGAGTATTCCAAACACTGACCACTCTGTTGCTGAAGTCGTATTTTCTGCAGTCAAGTTTGGTGCAGTTAACCTTGAGTTTGTATCTATTGTGTGCTCTTGTATTATTATGATTGAAGCTGAAGTATTCATTTGCAGGTAGGACATTGCAATGTATGATTTTATATACTATATTTAGATCGGACTGGAGGTGGTGTAGTTCTAGGTTTTCTAGGTCTACAGTTTCATACTCCTAAACTAGCAAATAGATATATTGCAACTTGGTTGTACGCAGATGACATAGTATTTCTATCACAAACATTATTTGGTTTTAAATAAACTCCAAATGCTCTGTCCAATTACTGCTCCGAGGAAGCACTTGAAATTATCCATAGTGAAACAAAGAGGCCTAAACTATGTGCCTGGAGGATAAATGGCCATAGTATTGAAAAATGAAATACTTTAAGTACTTGGGCATGGTTTTCCATAGCTATATCAAATACTTTTCTAATGAAAATTATATCATAGAAAATACTCAAAAAACAATGGCTGCAATTCAGTCTTTTTCACTTCATCAGAGGAGCATAGCAGCACTTCAGCAGCACTGAAGGCTCATGTACCACCACTTCTCAATGCCCAGCTAGGATCTTACACTTCCTTTACTCATCTTGCAAGTGTCCAATCCAAATTCCTAAGGGCTATATTCCAGGAACCCCTTGCATTCCAAATTTGGTATTAAAGAAGAAGGCAGATAAGTTGAAACAGGTACATGGATCTGCATCATAGTATATTGGTTGAAGCTACTATTCTTTCCCACACATTTGAGTATTTTCTTTGTTGGGGACAATTACAAATCAATATGGTTCAGAACAATCTCACAAACACTTCAACACCTCAGCTTTTCCAGGGAGTTATTCCTAATGATGGGCTATGAGTGTGCAGTGCATTTAGACAACATATCAAATACCTGGAAGCTCCAACAGGAGGATCTGCTCTACCCAAGAACATTTTTCTGAATAGTCAAGCCTCTTTTTACAAATCAGCAAGATACTTTCCCACATAAGTTTCCAAATTCCAAGGAGCGCTAACTTTAGCATGCTTCAATGTTTTCTCCCCATTGCAGTTTGGAGGGCTGATACAAAAAAATTCCCTATGAGCTGAAAATGTGCCCCTATGGACAAGGAGTTGTTGAAACTACAGCTCATGTCCAGCTACAATTACTCTGTCTAAGGACTCAGGGACCTACTTTATCTCTCCTTACCTGGTAAAACACCCAAGAAATTCTGATTTATTTTATGTACATTTGTTATCAGATCAGTATGATTCAATCTCCTTGAATGCAGCTAAATTTTGTTATAGTCCCTGGTAAAATTAGTCAGACTTGATTATTCACTGAAAAACCCACCACAATTGTAAAATTTATTTTGTTTTGTTTTTATTTTATTTTTATTTGTAATGTGTTAAAGTTTGCAATTCTATCAGCTGCAGTAATAAAAATATTCATGTTATTCATAAATTAGTAAGGCCACACTTGGAATACTGCATTCAGTTCTGGTCGCCACGATGTAAAAAAGATGTTGAGACTCTAGAAAGAGTGCAGAGAAGAGCAACAAAGATGATTAGGGGACTGGAAGCTAAAATATATGAAGAACGGTTGCAAGAACTGGGTATGTCTAGTCTAATGAAAAGGACTAGGGGAGACATGAGAGGAGTGTTCCAATATCTCAGGGGCTGCCACCAAGAAGAGGGAGTCAAGCTATTCTCCAAAGCTCCTGAGGGCAGGAGCAACCTAGAACTAAGGAGAAATTTCCTGACAGTTAGAACAATTAATCAGTGGAACAACTTGCCTCCAGAAGTTGTGAATGCTCCAACACTGGAAGTTTTAAAAAAGATCTTGGATAACCATTTGTCTGAAGTGGTGTAGGGTTTTCTGCCTAGGCAGAGGGTTGACCTAGAAGACCTCCGAGATCCCTTCCAACTCTGTTATTCTATTCTATTCTATTCTATTCTATTCTATTCTATTCTATTCTA